TTGAGCCCGCACCAAATGGTACTATTTTTAACCAGTCAGTCTTTTTGAGACCATGCGATTTTTCACAAGAACTCACTCATGGGAACTCTATACTTGGAACAAATCTTTGCAATTCTGACAACATCACCTGTGTCTTTCGGATAGACAACCGCAAGAGGTCTTGTCTCCGAGTTTGAAGTAGACCATTCCGAGTAAGAATGCCTCAATAGTTCTTCTTCATCATAGCTAATTGAATCATCTCCTAATTCATTGGCGATCTCCTGAATGGCCTGTTTTACATCTTAGTTGAATGATTATCACGTGACAGTCCAAATTCCTTCCTCCAAAACTTACTTGAAGCATAACAGTTGGTTCTGCATACTTTATGGAAGATCCGAAGACTTTTTGATCAATTTTACCTTGGTATGACATATAGCCATATCCAACACATAGTGATGCGGTTGCAGACGCGAGAGAACATAATAACACTGTTGACTTGCTGAAAGTGGAAGAAGTAACGGTCCCGTTATGAGCCGAATTAGAGACGAACCGTGTTCGTAGCATTGAGGATCTACCATATAGACTTCCAGCTAAGGTCTGGCGCAATGTTGAAGTATTGGCTGGCATCTTCGCAGGGACGGAGTGTTTACTACTAGCTTGAAAAATAGGTGATAGAAGACGATTCATGTTGACTGCTTGTTTCATCAACTAGAAATCCAAATTTGCCAAGATTCATATCAAACACAACGAATATAAAGTTTGAATTGTATATCAAGATATAAACGTCGCGAGGTGGTACATTCTCGTGACTTTTAACATGTTAAGCGGAGGAGTGAGGAAGCATTCCGCACTAATGCACCCCAACCTTGGCAGTACAGTCATCGGCGATTCTCCGGCCAAACTGTATTGATCAAATTGAGAACTTATTGATTATTAATGACATCAACATCAATCCTGTCAACAATGTTACACTCACAAAATTCAAACAATCATGAGAATCATTACATGGCTTTTAGATTCTTGCCAGTTGTTCTTAAGCTTTTTGACGCCCTGCCATGTTGTATTTTCAAAATACCTATATCTTGAACCATCCACTTGAAGTCTTGAACCGCACAGACTCATCGACTTGACTTAATCGGATTGAAGTATAGGAGGAATTGCGAGTGCATTATCCATTGGCTCAGAAGCTTATATACGAATTGCGTGTGAACCTAAAAGTACGAGTCGTGAACAAAGCGACCTTACTTTTCCAATTGAAACACGTCCAATTGGAAGTGTCCAATTCATTCTTCTGTTGGTTTATATGAAGTCTCATTGCCCCAAGTATGGTTTTGATAGATCATGTAATTTTTGACCTCTAATTTCACTTTACGGTATTGCTCAATATTACCTAGGCATGAGAGGTATTCCAAGGCGTCAATCAATACACTAGTCTGTTTAGTTGAAGGAAGAGTAATGGACTAACTCCATATCATAGTGCAAGACTGCAAGTACTTCAGACGTCATAGTAACTTTGAAAGCAATCACTCATGAATATTTAAGGTGGTAGAGATCCCAACTCTTAACCTTTCTAGTGATAAGGTCAATTCGTTGCCAGCTTTGTTGGAAATTTACCTCCCAAATCAATCCAAGATCACATCAGTTCATTTGTATACCACCTATCGAAAGAAATTCACAATGTCTATGTATGACAATACTTCTTGTATTTGCCAATTACAGCGTCATTTGATACATTCTACTCGATATCAATACTTCATATTGGCAATTGAATTGCTTCTTCCATTTTTCAAAACATTGTTGGACCGCCTCGATGTTATAATTTCTCGGAGTATACCTCCCGCCCGCAATTTGACAGTATTAGACAAATGGCGTTGGAATGGTCTTTTGTGTACAGTCAAGAACGCTCTAAAGTTGTCCAAGATAGAGGAATTACCGATGGATATCCTGCTTGATATTCTTGACCGAGTACCCATCTCATCAGCTGCTGCCTTTTCGATTTGTAGTCCGCACATCAAAAAACGAATGAGAAATCAATATCTCCAGCATCTGAATACCCAGCCTTATCAAAAGCTCCATTTCTTAGAGCTCCTCGCCAATCACTTATCCAATCATGTTGTATGCGAGCTATGTCTCATTATTCACCATGTAGACAACGCAGGATCATTGCAGTACTACAAGCGATTTTATGGCAAATCTCATTGGAATCGCATGCGGCGGATTTCGAAAAAGCTTGATTCACAACTTTTGTTGATTGACAAATTATTACAACCCACCTACAGAGAGCGAGTTTTGACCCAGTTACTGGACGGATAAGGATATCGAGCATGGGACTGCAACAATGCCATTTGGATAATGGCTATAAACATGTTTTATCAGTGAGATGATTGCGTCGGCCTACTTGATCCCATGTCAAATATTATTACGAATCATACGGAGTTGCTTGCCCCGGTGGCAATAGCTTCCGGTATATTATACGATGGTGGGGTCTATACCTCAAACGGGGGGAAACACATCATTTTAGAGGGCCAAGAAGGGGAAAGTTAGTTCTGATATATGCCGGCGGTGGCGTTGGGATAAATCCAATGATACACTTATTATGAGAAGTCTTGCGGACTTCTACTCGAAGAAAAAAGCTCACTGGTGCAAATATCGGTGGGTTCGTTACAGTGCAACCATTGTATTGCGGAGTTTCAGGTTGATATCAAAAGTTCGTTGGGGCTGAGGCTAAAAGTTACACGCACACCATGAAAAAATCTGGGATAAAAATGGGGAGAGGGCGCGAATAGTAGGTGGTATTTGGAAGACCTTTGTTGGATAAATCATCCTTTTCTTCCCATTCTAGTAGAAATTCGGAGTATTTTAGATACCCTGAACAAAGCATCTATAATCTAACTACAAGATCCAAATTTCCCTGTTGTATCGCAAAATGTGCTCCAGTAATCCGTCGTAAAGCCGCTAGATAAGTATCAATATCAATTTCTGCATTCCAAACGCATTCTAGCTGGAAAATCACATGAGTTGATCCGGAGAAAGTGAATTCGAGGAATTTGAGAAGTTGCTCGAAACAATAGGCTCATTATCATATGTTAAGTAAGATCTTACAATTTCGATCCCAATGGCGAGAACAAAACTCGCAATTTAGTTCATAATGCATAATTCTTAGGCGTATCGAGTGATGCTAGGCATATGTTAAAAGAATCTCTCAACACTGGACATTTGTCTTGATTAATATAAGGCTTCATAGACTTTGGTGTCCATGGAAAGCTCGGCTCACGATTTTGATAGTCCTGCTGAGTAAGCTATTGCATGGTGATATGCACGATGGACGAAACCGATCGCACATTAGGAATAATCCTAAGAACTAATCATCTAGCTAATGTCGATTGAGGGGTTAGACCAACTGCATGTCAATATTAAAATGAAGCGTGCGGAATAATCTGAAGCCTAGATATATGTGTCCTTTTGTGTGCAATTGATTGCGTTCATTGTGTGATCGAGTTGAATCAGACCTACATCACGTATCTCCTGTTTTGCCTCAGCCCATTCGACCATTAGGGCTCCGTCGATGCGTTAACTCATACAATGGACCATCGTTATCACTATCACGGGAGCCCCATCGTTCCTGGATGATGAGATCAATCTTCATTCATTGTTCATGAAAGAAGTGGTCATGCCTACCACTAGAAAAAGTCGCCAGCTCTTGGTTATATGATTGAGATCTTCTGAAACAGGGGATTCGTCGCTCCTTATACATAAGGGTATGGCTCCAGGCCACCGTGAAAGAGATATGGTTGGCGTCAATGTGAGGTATATTTGAAGAAGAGCAGCCTGAAATGACAAGCAAGTTACTGTATTTAAGCTTCGCCTGCCATTTTTTTCTTGTACTATATCAGATAACGCATTTGCATGCTGCATCAATGAAAATAGAAGCTGTATGCGGAACAATATCCGTAGACGATGGCGGGAAGATGCCCAGGGCCTTCCTTATAGCAGCAGTGAGTGGGGTTGTGGGGTGGGATCCACTCAATGAGCTTATCACACGCTGATTCTCTATATTGCTCCTCCGTATGATAGCTATTTCTCAGCAACAAATTGATCAATTGCCATGTTCAGATTTGTGCCTGATTTCATCGGTGATCAATGTGATAAAAACAGTTACCATGTGATACCGAAGAGACATCAATCCAGCAACGGCGGCCACGATTTGATATAATTTGATGCCCTTGGTTCATCTCACTGCAAGATCCGCGAAGCTACAGACCTGTACACTAGCATATTTATACACAACATTGATTTACTCTGCTTGAGCTGATCCGTAGGTTTCCTGAGGACTGTATGGTATGGATAAATGTTAGTCGTATTGAAGACGAACTGGAAGCTTCGACCTAGGGCTGACACTGCTTTGGAAGTCTAGCATTCTGTACTTCTTTTTGCTATTTTTCGAACTTTTCTATTTTGAAAAATCTCCAGCCTGTGTAGCTAACAAAGAAGAATGCGTAGAGAGAGTCAATGATCGAAGAAACCTGTGCTGGTTCATATCTACCACAATCATCATCCAATAAACATGATAGGGTATTTAGTTGCACCCGTGAACCAGCAATACGTGGAGGATACAGTTATGCAGTAGAGAGAGTTATTAATTCGGCCACGATAAGCCACATATCGTGACGACCTGTAACCAATTGATTACTTGTTGCCCAAATGTGGCAGCTGTGGTTGATATGTAAGTTCTATTGTAGCCAATAGGTGAATGGCACAAGCTATTCGTTTGGACAGTCATTAATTCGCTGTTATTGAGTGAGCCGCATTCATTGGTTTAAATTGGTGCCAGGTGCTTTAGCGTCGTCCATACCGACACACTCGCATGAAAAAGGTACCTAGGTATGCATCCTGTCGGTGACCTCATTTAGTAACAAATCCGAGCACGAAACAGTTTTAAGCCTCATGAATTGTGTATTAATGATGATCCCGTTTGCCGCGCCGCAATCAATGTTTAGCCATTTTATACCATTTAAATTGTCATGGATAAATTTTTATTCGACCAACATTTGCAAGATTGCACTATAGTGGAAGAGAAAACAACATGTTTCGAAACATTTCTTTATGCTGTAAGTCACCTGACCTGATGAACGTCATGAATCTTCGCTGTTTTCTATCCGGACGTTGATGATCTAATTGATGTAAAAGGATCCGGAATACCGAACGACAGTGACCGAAGAGACCATTCTTGAGGTCGATGTTTTCGATGACTTTTTGGATCAAAAGGTGAGATTTAAATTTCGAGCAACGAGAAAATCAATTTTCTATTGCTCAAACAGCTTTAATACACTGATAATCCGTTGTTGAAACTAAGTCAGAATTAAACTTACAGATTCTAGGGCAGATTCGAGAACAAAAATCAAGGATGCATCGGAGGAATTAGGCTCATGTAAGGATTTTCAGCGCACAAAATATTTCGTTTCAGGTATCCTAAGAGACGTCAACGACGAAACTTCCTTTACTAATATTACCAGCCTGCAAGGAAATGCAATCCATCCTAATACATTCGAACCCAAGTTTTTATCTTTACCTAAAGGCTTTCATAAAAAAATGGTGGACGCAATGCATCTTCCTCATTCATGGATTGAAACTCTAAGCGCAGTGGGACCATTTTACTGGTCTGGATATGAGCAAAACGAAAATGATCTTTATCTTCGTAAGCGGTTGTAAAAATGATAACATGCTACAAAGCTGATCGTTGCCAGAGATAATATACCGCAAGAGTGACGTGAAAAAACCATCTAACGCTCGGAACTGGGAATTGATTCTCTCACACTCTCTTAAGACTGGTATCACGAACGCTTTCTTCAAGGGTACACCTCGATCTGATGTTGCTCAATGTATTAAATGTCTTCGTGAATGCGTCGGTGAAATCGACCATCCGCTGTTCCTTCCCGCTCTTGTCTTTTCTTGCGATATTGATGTCGGAGAAGACAAACGCCACAGAGACAATCGAGAACGGGTCCGAATCCTAGAAAAAGATGTGATAGAAATATCCCACAAATATGCTGACCCCGACTTTACCAGGAGAGATAACGTCAATCTTCCACAAATCAACAGTGATCTAGTAGACTGCCATAAGAATGTTTTGTGGAAGCGACCGGAAGGGTATACTACTATTGTCCAAAAAATGGAGAAAACATTAGCCGACTTCAAAAATTTGTGGCCGGATGAAAGAAAGGAAAGACTAAGGAAGATTCAAACAATGATGGAGGGAAGGCTTGAATTACTGCAGTCTAGACTTCAGGGAATAAGCACCCATCGTGAAGTTACAATCTCAAGGTTGAAACTGATTGGGGACGTGTTAGAAAATTTGGTCTCGCTGGATATTCATAAGCAAGAGAAAGAGAGACAATTTGGTAAATACAAGAGGCAGAGAACTGCACGGTTAATGGAAAACAAAGATCAAGAGCTGAAAGCAAAGGAGAAAACACAGAGAGAGCTAGAAATAATGCTAGAGACACGGAAGCAGACAACTATGTCATTGCTAGGCGTTTTGTTTCTACCTGGTACTTTCTTTGCAGTAAGTTTGACTAAAACACGAACGTTTACCTGCTCAAACAGCTAATTGGAGCACAGGCAATTTTTAGTACCACTTTTTTCAATTTTCAACACGGTGTTTACGCGGGGATAGTCTCGAAGAAATTTTACGTCTACTGGGCATCTACAATTCCGACCACTTTGACATTGTTGGGCATGTGGCTCCTCTGGCAAAGAAGGACTAAGAAAATGCTAGAGAAAAGAGATGAGGAATTTCGAGATCTTGAACTACAAAGCAAAAGGGCACGAGATGATATATACAGAGAAGAAAATAACTTTTGGGGAGCAGATTAATTTCTTAGCTTTGAAATGAAATATCCCTCTGACTTGAATTCATTATCTGCACATATGAACAGCTTTTGGAGATTGGGAGAAAGATAGTCCAATACAATCGCTGGAAAAGGGCAATACCTGACTACACGCAAGGTTGACACTAATGAGTAAGGTCCATTGGGAATTGATTGAGATCTTCCAAGCCCATGAATAACATGTAGTCCCATAAACTACTGCTAGACAAACGTGACGATTTTTTTTTGGGCATCGGTACGAATGCTACATAGATATAATGGATTGACATCGTCCTGAAATCAGCTTGAAATCAGTTTTGATATCCAAACGCCACTTGGTCATTGAGATTCCTGTCATCCAGACTTTTGATGTACAATATTCCATAAACAGTTGATCATAGTGTGCTATGCTCTTCCCATTTGCATCATCAAGATCACCAGTGGGTGCACGGACTCACAGAACAATGTAACAGAAAAGCACAATTTCATACCAAAAAAAGTGATTTTAATAACTCAATTAAAATTCAATTTATTATCAAGCTTATTTGAAATTGAAATGTATAGTTTTTCAAACATAAAAAAATAATCAAATCAAAAATGATCCAAAGAAATTGAAATTTGAGCTCAAAAAACAAATAATACATTTTCCCACCAAAATTTTTGATAAAAAATTATATATTATTTTATAAAAATATTAATATTAACTTTTTTAATTCAATTTTGAAATAAACAAAATATTCATACTTTAAATTTATATCTCTAATTTTCAAATAAATTCATTGAGATTTTGAATTTTAATTGAATTATCAAAATAATTCTTTTTGATATAAAATTATACTTTCCCTCTTCAATATCCCATAAATCCATGAACGATCAGGTGTGTTGTTCGCACAGCCCAATTGACTCCAGTGATCAAATAGACCTGAAATAAGTAATTCTTGACACAATAAAATGCCACAATCAATCCAATTTGACGATATCAGCTTATCGTTCTCCAAATCATGAAGAAACAGTGAAAATATCTGCCTGGTAGTTCATCAAATAAAAAGCCGCCTGGAACAACAGAAGTCCAGGGGAACCAACGCTAAAAACACACGCTAAAACTAGCGAAAACGCGTCATTCCGCTATCAATTCGTCGCGACAACCAAATCGCAAAAAAAAGTAAAGTAAACAATCGCTCAATCATCTATCCACACAATCCTCACCGTCGCAACCACAACCACAACCACAACCACAATTACAACTATACAATCAACCTTCATCCATACCCCGACTCAAACATCTCCGCAACCACAAACCACAGAATCTCCCCACCACAACCCCAAACCCCAACCATGCCCAGCACCTCCCCCTCCCCCTCCCCTCCCCCCCAAGCCCCCATTCCCCTCACCCCCGGCCCCCGCGCAAACGCTCTCTACACCGTCTATGAAAAATCTCTCGCTTCCGCTCTCCATACCATTTCCTACCCCGCCTTCTCCTCCTGTTTCCCCTCCATTTCGCGCAATGCACCGGAAGCGCTCAAAGCCGTGCACGGGCAGATGGTTTCCCGATTACGCCAATTCGCACTCGATGAGTTCGAGATGATTTTGCAGGAACGCAGAGTGGTGGAACGATTGAATGGCCTGGAGGGAGTGATTGAGAGTGCGAGACGGAGGAAAGCGAGAGGTGTGGATGCGGAGACGGAGGGAAGAGATCTGGGTGTTGCGTGAGTGTAGTTTTTCTATATCTATCTTTCTTTCTTTCTTTATCTTTTTATTCTTGGGATTCATGTCTATTCCCTTCGACTATTTCTCCCTACTATCACTATCACTATCACTATCTCTATCCCCATAAACAAACAAACAACTAACCTCACCCCCTCTAGCCCACATACCCTCCCTGCGCCCTCCATCCTCGCCGCCCATCTCACCCCCCTCTACACAACACAACAATCACAACTCAACGCCAAACTCCAAACGACACAATCGCAAAACGCGAGTCTCGCAGACGAAATCCAGAAACAGCGAGAGGAGATTGAAAAATTAGTAAGAGGGGTTGAAATTGTGGTTGAAGATCTGGATCGCGCGAATGAGGTTATGGATCGAGAGGTTGATGGATTGGGAAAGGAGGCTTTGGAGGCGGAGAATACTTTGAGGGATGCGTAGACTAGTTTTTATGGCTAGGTATGGAGTTGGGGTTGTGAGACGTGGGGGGAGAATGATAATGGGAGTTTTTTCGGGGAAGAAGGGAGTTGGGTGTGATTGGGGAAGGTAATGGGAGGTGTAGATTTATTGGCGTTTATTGGATTTCGTCTCATGGCGCTTGGCGGTATTGAAAAGGGAATTTGGTGTACGCAGGAGTTACTTTGAACATTGGTCTTCATCCAGGCCAGGACACGAAAATGATGAAGTATAAAGTGTTTATTTATACTATACCGAAAGACCATGCACGCAATCTACAATGGATTGCGAACTATATAACAATACAAACGAGGCAAGAAAATGTCTAGGCTCCAGAAACACCTCGATTCATATCCCATGTTCCAGTCCTGGTATCTATAATCTCTTTTAACGGTTTGTCCATGACCAAAAAGAGTTGTACATTTGAGACGCCAATTTTACCCATCCAGCATGAACCCCACCATTACACCCAACCTAACAAATGAAAAGAAGTAAAAAAAAACTCCATCCGAATTCTATAATTCAAGCCTTGACCGGCGTACCATTATGGCTTATTTTCCAGCTCCCACAATACTCCTCTCCATATTCCGGAGGCTCACATCTGGTTAATGAGCCGGTACTCCAATCCACAATCCATTGTTTTCCCTTCATGATCAAGTAATTTGATTTTCGAGGGGAGCGACTTGTGAGGATCGCCATGCATTTTTTGGCATATATCATATCGTATCTAGGAGACCACGCATGTTCCGGACGCCATTTTCCCGTTTCGGGACAGAAAGAGTGGGAAGGGGTGGGGTTTGGCGTGCGTCGAAGCATGCGATGACGACGGGATCGACTACTTATGAGACCCATTTCGCGAAGAGCTTCCAGCGCGGCTTCGGATTCGTTCATGCATTCGTCGGGGATGCGTGATGTGTGGGGTGCGGATGATCGGGTCGAGGGTCGAGCGGTGGATGATCGAGAGGGAGTGGTGATGGCTCTCCCCTCGGGAGTGTTTGAACTTGCGAAATTGGGATAATGTGTGCGAATGAGTTCTTCTTGCGCTCGAATAAGTTCATCGCTGACTTGCACCTCTCTGGCTTCCCTTCTTCTTCGTCTTCGTGATCGTGGAATGGATTGATCTCGGGGTATTTGTCGCTCGTCGAGGGGAAGAGAGAGGTTGATAGCTGTGAAGAGTGATTGAAGCCAGGTAACGAATGTTTCAATTTTCACGCACGATAGAAGGAACTGGTCTGCTTCTGCTCTGACTCGAATAACATAGTGCTTCCTAGTAGTTATTAGTATTACCCTCTTAATACTTGGTGTATGTAAACCTACTTTACATAATCTGCAGCTATGCCAACTTCTGCATGTTGTAAATTGTAGCTTCCCAATAAACTTCCACGTTTTGTACCGACAGGTAAATCCGGTGTACTCTTTCGATCCCCAAGCTCCAAACCAAATACCCCCGAGCCTTTGACCTTGTGAAAAGTTAAGAGTGTTCCTCGTAAGGTTGCATATACTCGATACCAATTCCTGTCCGAAGCTCTGTGTATCGCGCCCTGCATTTCCATTTTCCTCATAAACACATTCTCCAAACTGATACCAGTAGAATATCCTGGGAGAATTTCCCTTCCTTCGTCTTCTCGAGGTTGAATATTTAAACGATTTCGCATATTTTGGGATCGAACGGAAGCATCGTAAGAAGGAGGAGAATCAAGTAGAGGATCTATTATTGACTGCGAATTTGTGGATTTATCGTCGACATCAATTTCTGGCTCGTGTTCCGATTCTTCCTCTGGTTCCTCCTCAACTTCTGGTTCTTGTATGTGATCGGAAGATTCATTATTTTGTTTGTAATATTCCTCCATCGATACTCTCCTTGAACTGGAGATTTGCGCGGATTGAGGATTAATTGTAATGTCGTCCATTGTTACATGATTTCTGAAAACTTCAGTAACGTGTGTACTCATGTTTTGTGTATTTTGTTGATGTGTCCGCTCAGAAAATCTTATATCGTGTTGTACCAAATCCCGATCCTACATGATCTTTCTCATAATATTTGTACTGCATGCGGCAGATAGTGAATTTGCAAACGTTCTCCTATTGATTGTTTCTGAATAAGTTTCAATTGAGTTTTCCTAAAGTTAATCGGATATTCGCGTCGCAAAGAGGAGTTGAGACAATCGTAGAAGCAATTGAGTTGTGGAAGAATAAGAAGAAATAAATCTGACTCATGTCTTGTCTTGTCTCGTCTCGACTTCTATTTCTTCTAGAATAGAACAAAACAAGAATAGGAGGTGAGGTTTAAGTGATGAGTGTGACAAGCCAAAAATATGGTTTTTCTTGGGTGTTGCCGCTCAGATCCCTTGTCAACAACATTCCTTCATGGAACCGAGCAACTGCATGGTAGAATAGAATGAGAATGGGAATGAGAGAGAGAATGGGTATGGGTGTGGGTGTGGGTGTGGGTATGGGTGTGAGTATGAGTATGACTTTGATGAAGATGACTGCGGCTACGACTGTATCTCGTGTATCTCGTGTATCTCATCCTCATCTCATCTCATCTCATCCTCATCCTCATCCTCATCCATCACCCTCCTCCATCACCCTCATCCATCACCCTCATCCATCATCCTCGACATCTACTTACGACGTGCATTGTGCAGCGATTAATCAAATACCTGGACCAAAATCAAAGATATAATTGGATGTTTATTCTTTTTACTTGCGGGGAAATGGTTCAGGCTGAGGTAAAACAATTTTGATGAGTGTTCCGGGTCTAGTCTGTCTAGCTGTCTCGAGCTGTCAGACACCTTTCTCGAGTAAAGACTGGGCCTGTCCTAAATTCTCTTCGTCATCACAGTCATGAACCGCCGTCAATCACATCAATTTGTGAACTTATCCAATGCTTCCAGAATTAGTAACGTAGATCATCAACTCATCAACTCTTGGATCGCAATGTGGTCTTTCCTGCAAAAAGATAGTCAACATCGATAATATGTCGGCGCATACGAAGAAAAGGATCAAGTCAAGCACAAACGGTTCCAGAATAATGAACGTGGGTCCTTACAGTCATTGTGAAGCTGGCGGCTGTACAGAAATCAATTTCTCCTTCCTTTCAGCAATCCAAAGATTGGATCCAACAATTTCCATCAACATCATCAATACGACCCGAGTCTTATTAACTCGCTCGGTCTAGCCTTTCGATCATAGCAGTGGGTGTTGGCGGCGCAGATGATTTTGGGAGCAATCAAACCCTTGTTCTTACTCAGGGCTTAGCACGCAGCACATCACATTTGTTGGCATGTTCATCACGACAAAGCTCTCTACTGGATTTTATTTTCTGTTGCATCTCTCACTTCCTTGTCTTTCGACGTGGCTTCACTATTACTGGATTGGAAGTATTTGAAACCGTTTTGTTGCATGTCTACGCCGAGGTCCTCGGTGTGGATTTATATATGATTACAACTCAATGGTCTATATCCGCGACCGAGGCTCTCCACTCTTCTACTTGTTTAAACCTCATCCAAGTGGATTTGCTAGAGGAAGGTTATATATATATCCCTAACCATTTTTGTGGTTACGAGCACCACTAGTATATACAAATCTGACTGTTGGGTTTGGTGGCTGGGAGTTTGATAAAGCTATAGATGAAGGTTCAAAGAGTGGGACCCATAAAGGCATATCGATCTTTGCTATCTGTCGTAAATTTGAGTTTTCCGTTTAGACTGTTGGAGTCTCTGTCACTACTTTTACATCTGTTTCTGAAGAATTAATGTGTATTGGTGGCTGCATACAAACACAACCTTCATTTTAAGTCTCAAAAATCATACACCTTTTTTTCCTCGCCTACTTCCAAGTGGATGGATATCGCTATAGAAATTTCCTAATCATTAGGTAAAGGTCCTCTCGGAAGAAAATTCTATTCTCACGTCTCAAGTGGTATGAAGAGAAATGTACTACCCCGTCTTGCTCTTTTCCAGATTACTTCAATCAAACCACGAACACGACGGTCGACCAATCCAGCCAAAAGCACAATTGCCATTAAGAATATTACCTAGTCATGGTCAGGTAAGACTTCCATATTGAGTTCAAAGAAATCCTATCAGTGAGGGGAAGATGGTGTTCTTTCTCGGCGTGCATTAACCTCATTGCGAAAGACTCAGATGCACATAGAACTCGAAGACTGGTCACAGATTTTACGGATGAGGCGGTGATGAGTGTGGCTATCAGATCATCACTATGGCTCAGTTAGAAAGAGACGTAGTGAATGGGTTAATAATATTGGCAGTGAAGTCAAATTCATTGATCCATATAGACATACCACAGGAGTGAGACAGTCTTTCCACAACTATACGATCCGAAATTACATCCCAGAATAATTTTATACAAATAAGCTTATCGAGACTTACGAGGCACTCAATATCTCACTGCTGGGAATCAAAGCTCAAAACCAAACATGAATACCACAATTCGGATTCGATAATCGTACCCAGTATGCTTTGAATGTCCGAATACAAATATGCAGATACAGCATTGAAGCACTTCCAATCTTCAAATTCGATCTTCAAATACAAGTCGACAATTGTTGAGCACCGTCGAGTCCAAACACAAAGTTGACAGTAAACAACCGATTAGGTTTCGGTCTTCGGGTTTTTCGTGAGACGATTTCGGATCGGATGCAATGTATATAACGTGTGCATTAAGGGTACACGGGTAGACGCTATGTAAAGGTAAAGTGTGGGGTAAAATAGAATGGAGCGAGAAGATGTCATCTTGCTGCTAAAGAACATCGAGGAATCTCACCAATGAACGCCTACCAAATGCTTGGTATACTCTTTATCCATTATCGAGTCTTCTGGGATGAAGATAAGGATAAAAGGGAAAATTGTAAGTGAGCAATGGTTGACCGTATGCTAACAAATGATGCGCTTCTCGCAGGATTGATCAACGAAGTAAACCACTAATATTGATGCATGCTGAAATCAATCTATTTTCTCATGCCACAGTGTATCTACCATTTGGTCATAGGTCAAGACACTCTTGTCTTACTGTTCACCATGCTGCACTACCTTCCAATAATGTACTAGTGTTAACATCAAGCCACTTCGGACTTTCCATATCTTCTCTTCCTCTTAGATTATCGAAACTCTAAGCTCTCATCAACTTATCAACATGTTCTCGTCATTATACCTTTTTACCTTTCTTTTATGGATATCTTGCTGTTTTGGCTTCGACCTAAGAGGCGAGTACTTTGGGCAATCACATTCAATTTCAAAATGCTACACCGCTGTAAGTCTATCATAGAAAGCAAAATTGATCATACTTAACTCTTCAGTGTCAATTTCTTTCTCGAATTCTCAAAGGCCGGGTATCATTTTCTGGTAGTGTTATATATGAATCTGAGCAATTATATTGGTCGCTGCAACAAGCTGAATTGCAACCTGAATGTCGAGTGACGCCGATATCTGCGGAAGATGTCTCTACTACCATACAAGTACTTGAGTCTCAAGGTTGCCAATTTGCCGTCAAGAGTGGTGGGCATGCATGTTTCTCAGGTGCATCAAATATTGAGAATGCAGTCGTGATAGATTTAAGCAATCTTGACCAAATCAATATCTCGAGCGACAAAACAGAAGTTTCCGTTGGAGCAGGTACACTATGGTCCAATCTTTATCCGATAATGGACGCAGCAAAAATTGGAGTTATAGGTGGTAGAGTAGTCGGAATCGGAGTTGGGGGTCTAACACTTGGGGGTGGAATATCTTTTCATTCTGGACGGTATGGATTCGCTTGCGATAATGTTAATAACTACCAAGTATGACTCCTCTCATGTTTTCGCATTTTTAAACTTATCGTTCATTAGGTTGTTCTTGCCAATGGCTCCATTCGCGATGTTAATCGAGCATCGTACCCAGATTTGTATTGGGCTTTGAGAGGAGGTGGAAATAATTTTGGCATTGTTACAAGATTTGATCTGGCTTCGTTCGAGCAGGGTGATATGTGGGGCGGAACGACAACTTCAAATGCAACAGAACTATCCAATGCGATTGAGGCATTGGTCAACCTCAATATCAATCATGCTTCTGATCCATTTGCTGCAGTTTTTCTGGTATATGTCTACGTACCTCTGATAGAATCATCCCTCGTCAGTTTCACATTGGACTATGGGAAACCAGTCATCAACCCTCCTATTTTCGGAAATTTTACTGAGATACCCGCTATATCTGCTGACTTGAGAATTGCGACCCTTACGTCGTTGATCAATGAAACAGAAGAATCGCAACCTTCTGGACTTAGGGAATCATATTGGACATTGACCATATTGAATGATGCCAGTTTAATAAATGAAATATCCAAGATATTTGATCAGGAACTTCAAAACATCAGAAATGCTACAAATTTATTGCCTGCGCTGGTCTTCCAACCGATTTCCGAACCAATGATCTCGCACTTTAGCAAGAATGGTGGGAATGCTCTAGGTATAACCAAAGAAGATGGTCCTTTGATTCGTGAGTAAATAATTCGGAAGTTTCCGTACAGTACCATGTCTAATCTCACCGTCGTCTGACAACTCTAGTAATCAATATTGCCATCCAATGGACCGACATCACAGATGATAAACGGATTATAGCGTTTGCAGAGAATTGTATTGCACGATCCACTACTTTAGCCAAAGAGCGAAATCTTTGGCATAGATTTCTGTACCAAAATTACGCTGCGCTTCAACAAGATGTATTTCCGAGCTACGGGAAAGAGAATCATGAGAGATTGGTCGAGATCTCAAAGAAATATGATCCAGATGGTGTGTTTGTGCGGCTGCAACCTGGATACTTCAAAGTTTATTGAGATACTTCCAAGACCTGCGGGTGGCAATTCATGCAAACTTTTATCGGTAAATGACATGAAATGTGGTTGCTCTGGTGCTCCCATACTTTTTGAGCAATACAATCTGTGGTTCTCATCATGTGTTTTCCACGTGATAATTCTTGCTATCACTTTCTTTGATTTCTTGTCGCTTGCAAGGTCATAGCTAGATTTCAGCAGAGTTGACAGGCTCGAGACAGGGTACTAGCTTATGGAGAGAGGGACTCTTCACAATATCGAGAATTTCACAAACTGTTCCTAAGACTTGACTAGCTAAGTATTCAAAAATTCAATCTGCGAGCCGCCGCTCAGCTACGTACTCCGTACTTGAACGATTCTCATATTCTATTTCAACTTGCTCGGTACCGAGATTATTTCTCTTTCGGTGATTTCATTGAACACCGCTCCAAGTGGGGAAACCACGTTATCGGGGAAATATGTTCAAATAATGCTCCATTCTCGGGCTAAGACTTCTTATCAGATATAGATCCTTGTTGTTCGAACGATTCCGAACCATCTGATAAAAATTCTGATGTGCCAAGCAGACATTGCGGGAACTTTTCCCAACTTGCAATTTTCTCAACGATAATTTGTATCAGATCATCAACGTTTAGTGGGCCGAAGTCGTATTCACGTTGGTCATAGAATATCAAGAACAGTTGTATTGAAACTCTATAAAGAAGATCAGATAAACTCAAAATGAGGATGTTTTTCGATTTTACATTGATCCACTTCACGAACTACTCATTCCCTATCTTTTCAGCCTTACCTCGAATTTCGAGGATAAACTTCGGCTATGTCTAATAATCAGATAGTTGAGACCGTCTATTCGACATCGGGTACGCCATCAGTGGAACACGATACTAAGGAGAAAGACGAAGCCTTTGTGTCAGCGGTTTCTTCACGCGATAATGAGGAACATCGATCGGATATCGCCAATAATGATGGACAATCCAATGGGAATGATATACCTTGGCAATGGAAGCTTGCTTCAGTCATCCTAGTGTCGATGATTGGTTTTGGCTCGCATTGGAGTTCAGGAATTACAGGTGCAATGAAATCAACAATCAAGAAGGAGATGAAGATTGACAATAAGCAATATGCTTTATTGAGTGCCAGTCAAGATTTTATGGTAACAGCTTTAATGATGGTTAGTGGTCTTGTTACGGATAGAATAGGAGGAGCAGGTAAGAGGACTATATATTTCGTTTATCTCAATTTACTCACTATCTCTAGGCGCAATCTTCTATGGCAACATCATCTTCACAATTGGATCTATTCTCATTGCCGGAGCTGCTCAGACCAGAAACTATCAATTCATGATTGGTGGTACAATTGTTCAAGCTTTTGGAGATATTGCTACTCAAGTTGCACAATACAAAGTTTTCTCTTCATGGTTCGCTCCCAATCATGGATTCGCTTCGACACTTGCGCTTGAGTTGGGAATCGGCAAAATCGGTGCATTTGTTGGTAAATCATCCGCAAACATCATCTCAAAGAACACAGGAAACTTTGCAAATGTCTATTGGGTTTCCGTAGCCATGAATGTTTTCTGTAATTTGATGACTCTCGGCTTCTACATCTTTACTCGCTTCGCCAATAAAAAGTTTCCTTCTACATCTGATCCAGCTACTGGCGAGAAACTCACAGAAGGTAACAAGAGATTTGAATTACGCAAAGTTCTTGAATTACCTTGGACATTCTGGGTCATTTTGGCATTTTCATTGTTTGAAACTTCGACTGCTGGTCTCTTTACTAGTAATGCTACAGAAATGGCTGAGCAAAGATTGGGTGTATCATCTATACAAGCCGGATGGTACACATCAGCTATTCAATATGGTGGTAAGTATCTTGTAACATTGAAAATCTAGTAAAACAAGACTGACCCTTTCAGGATTCTTCTTTGTTCCTCTAATTGGTATATTTGTTGATGTATGGGGAAACAGAGTTACTCTCTGTAAGTAAACTAATTCTCTCTTCAAATAAGTCTTCTGCTAACACTTTTCAGTTGCCGTCACTGGTTTTGCTTGTTTAATATCAATGTCCATTGTAAACTGGGCTCCTTCAATCAAGGGTACAGATGCTGCATTCGGCATTTACGCTTTCGCATACTGTTTCGGTCCAACTTTGATCATCGATAGTATCAGAACATCAATGTGGCACCAAGGAGTTTTCGGATCCGCATACGCTCTCAAAGTCACCATGAACAACGCGTACGTTCACTTTCTCTCAATCAACCATTCTTTACTAACCAAAAAACAGCATGAGCATCATCGTCGGTATCGTCGCCGGAGTAATCCAAGACGCAGATGACAATTCCTACGACAATGTCACGATTCTCTATGTTGCTCTTTCCGCAGCATCGGCATTCATGGCACTCGTCATGATTGGACTCGCCTATTATTGCGTTGATTTCCGCATGTTGCAATGGACGCGCAAACAGAGAATCGCTAATGGTGACTTGATTAATGAGCGCAAGCAAAAATTCCATAATGAGAATGGACCGAGAAATCGTAAGATTTCAAAGTGTTGTATTGGGGCTTTGGTGGTGTTGGTCTTGGGTTCATGGTGTGCGTATTTCTGGGGTGTGGCTACGGGAAATAATAATGGGTGATGATTAATGAATGGGGTGTGAAAATGGGATTCACCAATTGTAGTGGGTGGGGATTAACAGGGTCGATTTGATGTTGTATATAATGAGTTTGGATTCTACGTGGTTTTACATTAGGCACATTTTGATGATCGCTTATGGAGTGCGTACAACCGAGTTGGGACTCGTGGTGAATTTTCTCATCTTATATGCTGTGTCGCCTTTTTAGTTGGATATGTGTCGGGATATCGATCATGTGATCTAAGAGGGCACTGTATTGCACTAGCGTATGCACTAGCGTATGCACTTCTACTATATTAAATACTAGTTTCCCATAGTTAATAATGATCAAGAACGAATACAAACACAATAGACTAAAGTACTATACACTTTATCAACCAAGTTGATACCAACAATATGGGAATGATAGGCGGAAGTTGGTCGTCTGTTATTTCTGCAAGCCATACAGTATTGGTCATGAATATGGGGGATGGGATAAATGTATCGAAGAAATGATGTTGAATGGAAGTCGTTTGATTGATATACGGCAAACTACTTAGGCTGATGGATGGATTGACTTATTTTTTCCCTTTTTGGGCTGAAATTACGAGTTCCTGATATTATATTATCCTACTGAGATGATATGTTTACCAGTTATACCAATTAATATTAGTATTTCATAGGAATCATCGATTCGCATCATCACCAACTGTTGGCTTTTTCTTTTTTGCGACTAGCAAACATGAGATCTTACACAGATAACTTTTATGGGGTAGACAACATGCAATAAGATACTTCGTTGGACTAGTACTGCTAATCTGGTAATGGACTTACTATTCGATACTAAAAGCTTACTGCTATGTGTCCAACATTTAATTCCAAATGTTGGTTGACAATCGTTCATATGGTAAAATTACCATTCACGTCATGGATGATCGTTTTCTAATTCATGATATTCAGGAATCTATTCATCGAAAAATGTTCAAAAATCGAAAGGATATGCTGCTCTTGTCACCACACCAGGTGTCCATAACGTCCACAATGCAGTGGATTTCCCAGTCCATAAATACAAGAGAAGGGTTATTTCAAAAGGCTTCTCTATTCCATCTCTGCTAGCTTTCGAGCCAACAAGGATTAGCACAATTAATCTCTTAATACAAAATCTAGCGAGCGCATCTATCAAAGGCAAAATTCAAGATAAATGGTCGATACCTATCAATATGGGTATTGGCTTCAAGCACATGTCTTTAGACGTTATAGGAGAATTTGGGTTTGGACAATCGTTCAACCTACAAACATCTTCTGAGAACCATTTTCTTTCTGAGATGATTGCTGGAATATTTGCTGGAATATTAACAAGAGGGTGAGTTTACTCCAATTTCAAGCTTTTCAAAAAATCAGGATCGAAAGATTTTTCAACCGGAGAGTCCATACGACGGCTGTGAAGTATCACTCTACGGTGAGTAAATTGGTTGCGGATAGATTGAAGGAAGATAAGAATGCAAAGAGTGTTTTGTTTTAATTTTAGGGGGCCAGGGGAAGGGGTGCTGGGTGACGATGGGGGGAGGGGAAGAGTAAATGAGTTTCAGTTGATGGATCATTTGGCCAGTACGCATTTGGGTCCGTATGCGGAGTTCAGATTGAGAAATGGGCTGGAGGGAGAGTTTGATGCGGTTTAGTTGGGTATTGCGGATTCTGGAGTAGGTTGTACAAGAGATGGTGGAGAGGAAAGCTGGGATATTGTGTGATTATTCTGAAAGAAATCAGGATCCATGTATCTTATTAAAGCCATCTGGTTTAAATTTTAGTTTTATACTTTATACACTTATACAAGCAAGTTGTCGCTATCATCTGGACTATTTTACGTCTTGCAATATCATCGCAACTTTTACCATTCACAAATCTTATAGAATTTATTTATGAATGAACAATCAAACAATCCTTTTTTGTTGAATCAGAAGTCAAAAATCTGATCATTCGATAACTGGTAACATGTATTCCAAAAAGTTACAGAAATGGTGGAAACTTTCCATCCCAAATCCATTCACGGGTCTGCAGAAATCATCTTCTCAAACCCATTCACAAGCTTAGATATATTAATCACACTTTTCTTCCCTCTATCTTCTACTAATTCTTGAAATCTCCTACAGAAATGCAACGTAATCTTCCATGCAATTAGTGTTTTAAAACCGAACTACGCCTTTATTCGTGTATACCAAATCTCCCATCGACACACTTCACAATATCCAAACAAACAGGCAAACAAGCCATCGCCATCCCAAACAAAATGTCCATTCCATCTCCACCACCCTTCAAACCTCGTTCCTCATCCTTATCTCCATACCCCCTATTCCCATCTCAATCCCACTCGACATCTCATCTCCCCATTCAAACTCAGATCCAGATTCATGACAAAAAATGTATATATCTCCTTACCACACACGCCTGTTCCCATTTCGTGCAACCGTTTACTCATCCGACGAATATTATTCACACCGAGAATTGTGTTGCGAGATTCGGAGGCTGTTGTTCGAGTCAGGGGTATCGGTATGAGATTTTGGGGAATGGGGGTGAGGAATGTGAGGTTTGTGTGAGGAGTGGGAAGTTGATGAAGGAGAAGGGCTCGAGCGGAGAGATTCGGTTAAAAAATGAAGAAAGGGGGAATGGGTTGGATGTGGAAATTCAGAGGAGAGATAGGGACGATATGCCAGGGATGGATTTAATACCGAATACAGATAATAGATTGGCGAATGATCTGGGGAAGGAATTAGCAAGCGATAATAATGCACACTTACCAACAAGCCCCCCTTTTTCGTTAAAGAAAACTCAAAGTTCCCCGGATATGTATCGCCGTGGCAGCGACGATGGAAAAGGAAAACAAATGATGACATATGAACATCAACGTGCAATTCCCACGCAAAGAAGACCGATGATTGCGGAGAGGAAACGGGTTTCTATTGTTATTGAAGAGGGAGGTGGATATTATGGGGATACATGTGGAGTTTTCAATTCTACTTTGAGATGTGGCAGGGAAAAGGGAAGGAAATGCTGGGAGGATTTATGGGGGAGGTTTAAGAGGTTGTAAATGAAGATTAGATGGGGTTCAGGGGATGGAAGTTGGGATTGGGTATCATATGGGGTCTTTTGGGTTCTTGGTGATTTCAGAGATAATTTTACTTGAATTGGATATGTAGGATGAGATTGTCTATTCTAGATCTTAGGATTAGGTTTCAATTTCATTAATATTCGGTTTATGATAATCCATGAGTTGTTGTCCTAAATGCGATATATAGATACACGAAACGATGTCGACGTAAATGTAAATGCAGATATCTTTTTCCGATTCGATTTAACAGCAGAGTGTTATATCAGCACCATCAATTCCACCTCGGCTATTTTTCATAAAGTCACTTGCGGATGTGTAAATGTAGTGAGGTAAAGACAGAGATAAATAGCAGACTGACCAAAAGGTGAAACGAGTGTATAGTTCATGACATACTGAGCAACTGTGCATAATCTTCTTTCATCTAAAGCGCAAGTATGTCGCTCCTAGTGCCGAGGAATACATTACCAATGGTTGATTTTAGCGAGTATGCATATTGAGCACAATATAGTATTTGACTGTAGATGACTTTGATAGAATGCAGTAGTTGTTATCAATTAAGACGATGTTCTTGATCACATGTATTCAGCAACAAATTAGACCTCTACAAATTTTGAGATGTACTCCTTTTACATGATTGCATGATTGTATAGACTGTCCACAGAATATCCTCTTCAGGAGAGTGGGATTTCAACTAATACTGTTTTTCTTCAGCATAGAAACAAACCATATGACAATATTCCATTAGCGAATCTACCATTAGTTTTTCAGTATGATATGAATGGATCTTACAAGAAATGTACGGCTATCAATACGTCCATATCTCTGTAAGAATACCGTACATATGATTCAGTATCAGTACGACATTCCCTAATCATCTTAAGCTACGGCTTCTAGAACAGAGACATGTTGCATATAAACATAAACTGAACACAGCTTCTTTGCAATAACATTACAAGTAAACTTTACATCATACATCATACATTCACATTCTCAACACATCATCGACATCGACATAATACAGATTTCTCGAGTACTATCCACAAGATTTTACTTCCTTTCAACAACGAATTCTGTTTTTGAATGCAACATCAAGAAATAATGATGTCATCACAAACAGCCAAATTCATATTTCCCCGAACCCTGGGTGGTCAACACAAAATCATCGCGCCAAAACCGTCTAATCCCAATCAGACGCAGGATACAGAGCGATGTATATACGTGGTTCAAGGTAATTTATCTCCTCACTCATCTCCTCACCCATCTCCTCACCCATCTCCTCACCCATCTCCTCACCCATCTCCTCATATTAACCCCTCCCCCCCCTTTTTCCTACCATCCCTCACTAACCAAACCCAGAATACAACTGTCCGCACCACCCCTCCCTAAACACTCCCCACATCTTCCACCGGACCCCCTGTCCCCAAGCCCTCCTCCCCTACGCCTCTCAAACCGATTGTGAAAACTATCCCAACCACGAAGACGAACTCGTGCAAGTATCTCGCTACGTTCTCGAGCGCGGCTGCATGGAATGCAAAACTTCCGCGCGCAGACGTCGTCATGAAGAAGCAGCCACGCATCCTGAGATTCACAGACGCATGCAGGAATTAGGATTGGGACAGGAAGAAATCGATCATTTTGAAAAGGTGACGAGTAGTTTTTCGGCGAGTAGGAGAGTTTTGGAGTTGGTGAGAGCGAGGGAGAGAAATGAGAGATTGAGGAGAGAAGAAGCTCGTGGGGTATTGTGCATAGAGGATGGAAAGGATGAGACACAGAGCGAAGGTGAAGTAAAGCAGGAATCAAAGCTCCCTTCTGAGATGGATAACCTCGAAGTTATCACGACTGCGACTCATGCATCTTCAGTTGAGGGCCCTATCGTCGAACAAAACGACAGTGCAGAAAAAGAGCACAAAACTGCACAGCCCCAATCAATGGCTAAGAAGGTCGAGATTCCACGACCCGGAGAAATCGACGCGAAAAAGAACACCCCTCAACCTTCAGCTGCGTCCACCAATCTTGAAAGTCCCCCATCTAGCATGGCACCCCAAGCCATCCAAAAAGACGAACCCACACATCCCCAACCTCGCAGCCCAAGCCCAAGCCCATCCGCTAAACAAACCACCACCCAAGCATCCCCCAAGCTCAAGAACTTACCCTCTAACCTCACCCCAGAGGACGAAATCCCCCTCGTCAACCCTTCAAATCTACAATCCAGCGCCCCAGTAGCAAGCGAGCATCTCAAACAACCTCAAGCTACAGATAACAAGCTTCCAGGCACCCCCCCAACTTCCAGCCACTCCCCCGAAAAACTAACCGACAACATCCACCTCGATATCGACGCCGAATGGGAAACAGATGAGGAGCCCGAGCGAGTCTTTGGAGAAGTGGCGCTTGCGCCTTCGTTTGGATGTCAGACGGGAGATGAGTGGATTGTGGTTGGGAGTTGGGAGCAGTGATTGTTTATACATATTGGGGGGGCAGAAGTGTGGATGGGGGAGGGAGTGCATGGTGTGCATGAGGAAGGGATATGATTTAATATGATTTAATATGACACAATACAATTGATTTATTAAGCGAGAATTCTATATGGATTTAGAGAATTGAGTAATAATACTATTACTATTACCACACCCCAGCTTTCATTTTCATAAGAACAACAAACATCCCAAGTTCTTACTATTACTCTTGAAGATATATGTATATTCATATATATTCATATATCCACATACATACAATACTATAAAACCTAAAACCATCTACCTACCTACCTACCCTACCCTAGGTCTACCTATCTACCTATATACCTACCCCAGGCCTACCTATCTACCTACATACCTACCTACCTATCTAAATAATACATACATACAACACAATACAATACAATAACACACAACACACAATACCCAACAACCACAACAACAACCACAAGACAGAGGAGAGGAGAGGAAGCTATACATTTATCTATTCACTCCCTTTGAATTAATTCGATACACATACCTACCTACCTAGATATACATATACATACATATACAGATAGATTAATAATACACTTCAATCAACCACCTATCAATAAATATAAATAAATATAAATATATAAATTTTCTAATTCATTCCTCTATTCATTCCTACATCTTTCCTTCTTTTCATAATATTCCGTTCCTTTCCTTTCATTTCAGAATCCAGATGCCACTACTACTACTACTACAACCACTATCTGTATATTTCCACTCATTTACATGCATGTGCCGCTAACATAACATAAAATATCATGATTCCAACTACCACATCACATCTCATCACATCACAACACTCTATAACTTACACCCCCCCTACCCTCCAATCCCATCCACTCTGTTTTCCCCACCTTCCAAATCTACAACTAAAAATTCACAATTCCTTAGTAACCCTAGGTCTATCATCTCTCCTCCCCATCCCTATTCCCAACCCTGTACTTTGTTCCCCCTCCCTCTCAATTTCTCTCTCCACCATTTCAATACTACTCAAACTCGGGAATCTTTTACTAAAATCCGCAAGATATTCTTCTTTTTCCAAGGACGTCATATCTGATCTCGGTTGAATTCCAGATCCACCTCTATTAGCTAGATATGACTGTTTAGGTGGAGAGTTATTCATAGCAACACCACCTCCCGTATTCATATTATTGAGATGTGTAGGTTTAGGTGGGGCACTTGGTCTTGGTCCTGTTTTAGTAACTGGTAATTGAGGAGGAATTTGTTGAGGACGAGGTTTCGTATAATTGAGATCGGATGAAGGGATTGAAGGTTGAGCTGTTTTGCGAATTACAGAAGGTTTTCCATATGGATTTCCAGTTGGTAAAGGATTAGGTTGACCTGGTATATCGGTATATCTTCCATAACCTTCTGCCGTTTTCTTTGGGGAAGGTTGTTGACTATTTTCATCCAAGAGACTTTTGACTTTATGTTGAATACTTGCAGCTCGGGTTACACCACCAATACTTTTTGGGGCTGGTGCACCACCACGATCTGCAAGTCGTTTTCGATATTCGGCTGCTGCATCAGAAACGCGTTTTTCTTCAATTGATAATCTTCTTCGTTCATTTTCTCGTCTTTGCTCTGGTGTCATATTGTCATCTACCGTTCCATCATCACTTCTATCATCTGTTGCCTCAGATCCAGCGATTGGTGTCAAGTCACGTCGATCTAAATCATGTAGAGGACTTGGAGTTCTTGGACCAGGTGGAGCACTAGCATTATTTTCAAATCTTTTGAAAGCATCTCCAAATTTACCCGCCAGCAAATTTTTAGTTCCAGATAACGAAATCGAAGGCATACTAGAACGTTTGGATTTTGATCCACTACTTCGACGTCTATCTTTCTTGACCCTTTCATGATCTTCCATGGATTTAAGAAAGTCAACATTCGACTGAGGATCATCATCAGTCGGATCTGTGACTGCGAAATCCCTAGAGTATGATGGGCGTCGTTGGGAATCAATCGAAGGACGACCTTCCTTTTCTCGAAGAAAGTCCATATTGGATTCCAAATATTGACTTGATGGACGCGATCGACTCAGACTGGATTTTGTTCGAGATATAGTACTTTCGAGAGCTTCATTGCTAGGTCTACTCATTTCGAGTGATGGTCTAGATGATGATGAATGTTTTGAATGAGTAGATGGTGGATTGTATGAAGAGGTACGAGGTAAGCCAGGATGAACAGGTAAAAATTCTTGTGCTTCAAGAGTCGGTGTTCTAGACGGAGTTGCGATTTGGTTTCGTGGTAAACTAGTTGATCGATGATGATCTGATGGTAGGAGACGTGGAGAAGCAGTGAAATTAGGAGGTCGTGCATTTGCAGGTGGAGGAGTTGGTGTTGTCATTGTACCTTGGGATACATATGAGGATTTCACACCAGGGTGAGTAGGTGTGGGTTGATAAATTAAGGTTGCTGGTACATCTGATGTTTGAAGCTCTAGTGGATTACTGGATAGAATTTGTTGAGCACGAGATGGCTTATTGGTTGAAGTTGATGACCCCGGTCGATTTGACATGGCAAATGCATCATCAGCTAATCTTTCTGTAACTCGTTTGCTAACAGGTTGTGATGTCTTTGTGGGTGAGTTTGATCCAAAATCAAATTTGCCCCCTTCGTGAAGCAATGAGAATTGATCTAAGCTTGGAAATCGATTGGAGATTTCGTCTACAACTGGAGCAGAAGTTGTAGAATCCAAAGCGGCAAATGGATCACTAACTGTGCCTCTCATTGGAGACGGACTAGGTTTTGTAGGTTGTGGCTGTGAATTAGCCGTGGGTCTTCCCCTTCGCATTGGTACGACATCAGGTATAACTGTTTGCTGTTGTGTTGGAGGCGCAAAAACTGCTCCTACAACTGGAGGTGATGTCGGAGACTCGGTAGCTGGTAACTGCTGATATTGTCGCGATTCAGATTGGGTCCTTCCAGCATATATCTAATATGGTAAGTTTTTATTTTTCGATGGAAGATGGAGGGTATAAAACAACATACATCCTTAATTGGAACCTCGATTCCTTGCATGAGACATGATTCCCTCAAAACTTGGTATATATTGGGACGAGATGTTGGCTTCTCTTTCAACATGGATGCTAGAATGTGTTAGCACAATTTCCCCTTGAGCGTTGAGCGCAGCATTGGATGTACCTATTAAATTCTTAAGGGGGTCCGAAAATATTGGATACGAGGGGAATTTAAAACTTGCGTTCAATATAGCAAGTTGTCCCTGAGCCTCGAACGGTGTAGTATAATAACACAATTTATACAGCAGTACCCCTAATGCCCAGATATCCGACTTTTCATCAATTGGTAGTTTCCTGTATACATCTATCATCTCAGGACTTCTATATTGTAATGTTGTATGTTTTTGAACATCGTCTTCGATCAATCTGCATTCGGCAGCGGTCGTAGCAGCAGGTCGAGGTGGTGCCGTGGAACCAAAGTCGCAGAGCTTAAATCTTCGAGAAGGACCAGTCGAAGTTATGAGAACATTCTCAACTTTAAGATCTCGATGTAAAAGGGGAGGTTTGAGGTAGTGCATGCATGCTACTCCTTCTGCCACGTCTGAGAATATCTTTAGGATTTCGGGTTCCGTTAATCTATTTTGAAGTCGAGTATTCATGAAATCGATCAAACCACCGCCATTGCAAAATTCCATAAGTAAGAATACCTCGTACCCTCCCCCTTTCAGTTGTGATGCATGTGAATCGTAATATGTAACAATTGGGCGGTGTCCCTTTAACTTCTTCATGGTTTCCACTTCGGTTCTCATATTTGCCAAATGTTCCTTATCAGGGACCGCGACTCTTTTCAACACGGCAATATCTGTCCCATCGATAGGTTTTGGCATCTTCACCAGGTAGACATGAGCGAACCCCCCTTCCGAGAAGTACTTTTGAATAACGACCTTGTGAGATCCGACTTGGATTTTTGTACCGGGTGCGAAAGTTCCAGGGGGTGCCGAAGGATCAGGTATGGGTACAGGTCCTCCATAAACCGCCGGTCGAGGGGCAGTCGCTGGCACATTGTAAGATGCCATGATTTATGAGGTAGACGTGTAAAGCAAGACGATGGCAGATGTAGAGTAGCTAAGAATTAGATGTGATCACCGCATTGAGTGAAGTGTGTAGACTTGCAAATCGATTCTTGTGATTAAAAAGATATAAAAAGAAGCTTTACAAGATACTCCAAAGTTGATTGAAAGATGGATGAATAGATTTAACGGTCAACGTTCAATGTCTAATCCAAGTTACTTTGATTGCATGGAGTTTTGAGAATGATGGATGGGGCATATCCAGGCTGGCATTGATGTTACCTATCCATTGCTTTGGTTGTATATTCACCGCCTTTTAGTTCTGCCCATATATTTTGACCAATTGAAAAGGGAAGAGAACGTGTCTCACGGTAGGGAGATCATCTGGCTTTGGTGGGTATGAAATTCAAGAGCGTGTGAACAAAGTCATTACTATCAAGTGATTGAATGAAGGAGAAGGGATGAATGGAAGGGATGAATGATTGAGGAGGATATATCTGATAGAAGTTAGTTTACGAAGGGGTGTTATAGAGGTATATATAGACCGATATATAGATTGATATACAGTTTGATATATAGATCGATATATAGGTAGGTATAGGTACTGGGTAGAAATGTATAAATACCTACATACATAATTATATGTATCTTGGTATTTGACACATTCCCCAGTTTCGTCAAGGAATCGAAACATAACGGTCTCAATTATGAAGGATCGATGGACAACTACGACTACGACCTAGTACATTATCTATATATATATATATAGAGAGTCTACTCTAGACCTATTCCAGCATCACGGTATCTACGATAACATATCACCATCTCATCAATGATAACTTACAGCCTGACTCGTCAATATATCTTCAGATTGGACTATTATTGCCCGACTCTCCTTAGTATGTAACTCGGCCAGCCTTGTTTTTCATCCCACCTCTCCCATAAGCTGTTACAGATTTGCATCAAGATAGGTAATTGCTCGACCCAACCATACCTAAGTGTCGTAGTACAATGTTTCAATTGTGCCTTGCATACAATCTATAATACCTACTCAGTCATAAGCCGTAAGCAGTACTCACTCGGCTTTTGAATGATATTACGTGGATGAATCGTGATAAAGCGATGACTGTTAGGTACATAGGTGATTGGTTGTACCGACATGGGGTTTCCATTCCAATGAAACCGGAAGTCCGATGTCTATTTGTAGGATTGGTAATTGATGTTCTCCCCAGGTTATTTGCCTGAGATGAGTGGGATGGTATGGAAGGTATGGAAGGTAGATGCTGATGATGCTGATGTTGATGTTGATGTTGATGCTGGTGTTGATGTTGATGCTGGTGTTGATGCTGATGTTGATGCTGATGATGATGATGATATTGATGATGATATTGATGATGATATTGATGATGATATTGATGATGATATTGATGCTGCTGATGATGATGATATTGATGATGATATTGATGTTAATATCGATACTGATTTTGATATTGATGTTGATGCTGATGATGATATTGATATTGATAATGATATTGATGTTAATATCGATGTTGGTATTGATGCTGATATTGATGTTGATATTGATATTGATTTCATATCAAGTCTCTTCTTTGTGATGATATATCAACCTACCTATCTATACGACATACTTTTGATTCACGTCGCGTCGTCTGATATAAGGCTTCATTGTCAGAGTTACCGTTGTTGTAAGACCGTTGCGAAGTCTATCCCAAATTCAAATACCATCTGTCCTCTTTCATTGGATGGCGATGATGTTCTAGAGTAGATTTACTTTGTGATTCTTAGGCACATGCCCTCTTGGATACCTAGCACAATGGTCAAGGTATACGGTAATCTGTATCAAGGCTACTTGCTTGGAATCTCAACCTATGAAATTATCTCCAAATTTAATTTCCGACGGAAGGAAGATGGGAAAGTTGGAGGATATCGGGTTGAATGGAGAGAAGAGGATGTATGTATTGTGATTTGCGATTTGAAGTGAAGTTATTCATAAATATTATTGCTTACGATGTCTTCATGTATGAGAGTTGACTGGATGTTGATTGAGAGATTTTATCATTGTTGTAATAATAACGTTATATTTATATATATTATATTCCTTCCCTTGTGATCATTCTTATTGTTGGTCTCTACCTAATAGATATTACTTGGGTACTCTTCTTATTCCTATCATGGATGTTCTTTTTATTGTTTTCTTCACTCTCGCTCTCTCTATTAATTTTTCACCCAATTGTGATTACTCATTCATCACTCATCCATCCATCACTTCATTCATACCAGTATCACACTTCACTTGCCTTTTTCTTTTCTTTCTTCTCTCTTCTCTCTTCTCTCTTCTCTCTTCGCTCTTCTCTCCTCCCTCCTCCCTCCTCCCTCCTCCCTCCTCACTCCTCACTCTTCCTCCCCTCCCTCTTCCCTCTTCCCTCAATTTTTTTTCTTCTCTTTCCCAGCCATATTCGTGATCTCCATTTTAGTGAAAGGCTTGAAGCAACTGCAACAGGGATAAGTTCAGCGCTAAGCCTTTAAGCGAATTAAGAAAATTATTGGGATTTTCTGAATACTTAAGGACCATAAAGGACGGCGACTCCCCGACCGACCATGTTGCTACCATAAGAAACCACCAAAATCCACTCAAGGGGAAATTCAACCAATCAACGAGTCCAACGAATTTTATACCAAACCATACCAAACCATACCGGTACATACTACATACATATATCAATCAACCATACCGGTATCAACCATACCATACATATCAATCCATACATATCAACCATACCAACCACATCAACCACATCAACCACACCAACCGCATCAATCATACCATACACACCCAACAACCATAGTCAAATCAGCCATTCAGTTCAAAGGGGAAAAGAATACAATAATACCTTTCCCCCGTATTTAAATCTCCAATTGAAAAATATCCCGCCTCGCGATCAAGGCTGAAAGGTTACAATTACTACCACGTCGTCGCTATCAACTTTAACCTTACTTATATCTCACAACACCATCAAAATTTCTTGGGTTCTCTTTGCGATTACTTATTTATTAATTCATTGCATTTACGCGTCTAATAAACTTTTCTTCGATATTGCATACTGGCAATTATCCTTCCAAGTATCACCCAAGGTACACTTTTACTTTTTTTTTTGCCACGACGACGACGACTATACCAAACGATAACCAAGTTGAATGGATTAACGAACTTTCACAAAAACTCATCTTTTGGCATATATGGCGTTTTCCCTTTGATCCTCTTCATACAGATAATGAACCACACGCGTATTGAAAATGGCTTCAAGGTAATGTTTCACCTCCACCCCCCCCCCCCCCCAATATTAAGCTGTGATCAATGCGGCCGCGTTGCATTTGAATGCTGCATTTCGGGAATTAATTATGGATTTGCTGACATGCTGATACGTCGAAATAGATTGGATCGACTTGTCACGTGAGTATCTTCTCTTTGGGTCACTCCATCTTTTCTATGTTTGGTTGAGACAATATCAAACCCTTGAAACTTGTAATATGCCGTGGAATTTTTACGGGAATTGTATAATTGAAGATCTCTTGTAACATGAGATGATCATCAATGATCTTCATTTCGAGAATATTCTGAACGAGTTTCATTTGAGCCTCATCTCTTTCCCCTACCTCATACTGACTTTTGACTCAGGCTACTGGAAACGGGAAGCACTCCATTAATTAGGAATACTGCTGCTCAGCAATTGGCTGATGTACAGAAATCACATCCCGAAGAACTTTTCAATTTATTAACAAGAGTGGTACCGTATCTTCGTCATAAGACTTGGGACACACGAACAGCTGCTTCAAAAGCATTAGCCGGAATTGTTGAGAATGCAGAAAAATATGACCCAAATGGTGAGGATGACTTGGCGAAAGATGAATCAAAAATCGAGGAATCCGGAATCAAAAAGGAAGAAGACGTAGAACCTACACCACTTGCCGAAGGACAATTAAGTCTCGATACTCTCGATATTGTATCGATTCTCAAGTATGGGAAAGAACTTGTTCGTGGTGGCGATAGAGGTCATGATTGGGCTCTAGCTTCTTTGGATCCCGCTCAACGTCTTGCTCATCAAAAGAAGACCCTTGATGGTCGACTTGGTCTTCTTGGTCCATACTCTGAAGAGGAACTCGAATATGCACCTCCAACTAATAACCAAAACGGATCCAGTTCCACACTGGCACGTGAGGATTCAAATGGTTTCTCACGACAAGAAAACAACAAAGGTACATCTACACCCTCGGAAGAAAGTGGACTGAGTGCGAGACAACTGAATCAACTGAAGCGAAAGAGAAAAAGAGAAGCTATGACTGCTGGTAGCAAAAGTAGGCTGGTAGATCTTTCAGTACGACGCACCAATACTTCGAATGATGCAGATACTTCCATGCCGGATGCTAGTGGTGAAGATTCCAAGAACCCTATGGCGGATTACTTTTCAACGGAAAGAAATGCTGAAATAGATGAGGATTCCAAAGTCGTTTCAGAATTCAAGGGCCCAATCATGCCAATCAAATCCGAACTTGAGACTGAGGGCGAGCAAGAAGGATCGGAGTGGCCTTATGAACGTCTCTGTGAATTCCTCGTAGTCGATTTATTCGATCCTCAATGGGAAACTAGACATGGTGCTGCAATGGGTTTGAGGGATATCATACGTGTCCATGGAGCCGGCGCTGGAAGACAGCTAGGAAAGACTCGTAGCGAAAACAACTTACTCAATCAACGTTGGCTTGATGACTTAGCTTGTCGATTGTGTTGCGTGTTTATCTTGGATCGTTTTGGGGACTATGTTTCAGACACAGTTGTTGCACCTATTCGGGAAACAATTGGTCAAACTCTGGGAGCTTTACTCATTCACCTTCCACCTCCAGTCGTTTATTCCGTTCATCACATTTTGTATCGTCTCGTTATGCAAAATGACATTCAACTGGATAAACCAGGCTGGGCTATTTGTCATGGTGGTATGATTGGTCTTCGTTACTTGGTGGCAGTTCGAAACGATTTGTTACTGAAAGACAACGATTTGATCGATGGTGTCATTCGTGCTGTGATGAAAGGTTTAGGTGATTGGGATGATGATGTTCGTTCTGTCAGTGCAGCAACACTTATTCCAATTGCCAAAGAGTTTGTCAACTTGAGACCTGAAGCACTTGATGGTCTCATCAATATTGTTTGGGAATGTCTCTCAAATCTTGGTGATGATTTGAGTGCTAGTACAGGACAGATCATGGATTTGTTGGCCAAACTTTGCAGTTTCCCTGAAGTATTAGAGGCTATGAAAAAGAATGCCTCTCGAGATGCTGAACAATCTTTTGGACTTTTGGTACCAAGATTATATCCATTCCTTCGACATACCATCACATCCGTGCGCTCAGCAGTCCTCCGAGCTTTGTTGACATTTGTCGGCATTGAGGGTGAAGGGACTAGAGATTGGATGGATGGAAGAATTCTTCGATTGATCTATCAAAACATTTTGGTTGAGAGAAATCAAGATACTTTGAATTTATCACTTCAAGTATGGAAAGCATTAGTACGTTTCCTTGCGAGAGATCCACAACATTTATCTGCAGAATTTGCACCACATATCGATCCTCTTATGCAACTTACGTTACATCCTATTGGTGTATCTCGACATCCAATACCCATGAACGCCACACTTTTCCAAAGACCATCCGGTAATTCTTACTTACCCAGTGGTCCTACAAGTAACGCTCGTCCAAGCACACCTTCTGGTCCTGAACCTCCAACGAAAAAGCGTCGAAAGGCTGCAAAGGTTGTTGAACCTACTCCTACATCATCATCACATGACGTCGATGGTCCCATGATGCAAGGTGATGTGGATCTGGTGGGTATGGATATTTTGATTAGATCTCGTGCATCAGCCGCAAAAGCCATGGGTCTTATTATGTCTCTCGTACCAGCTCCTGCTCTCGATGCATATGATGCTAGTATCACCCCAGGAATGTCTTCGGCATTCTCTTCTACCCAATTAACGGCTTCTATCATCATCGACGAATACGCCAAAAATTGTATCTCAAAGACTCATGCTTTACGTTTTGAACCAGCTCTTACAAAGATTCTCGAAAATGAGCGCCCTCTCACATATAGAGATTTAGTCAGCTACACACATTTGGTTCGAACCCAATGTTCACAACTCTTCAATACCTTTCGCGATGTTGGCAAAGTTTCCCAAGGACGTTTACCTGTACTTGCGGTTGTCGTAGCTGGTGAAGCTGAAGCTGGACCAGATGCTTTCTCCATTGTGACTGCTAATAAATGTGTTTCCGAGGATTTCGATCGATTAAAGAAAATGCTTTCTCCTGGTCAACGGATGATAGCAACTCAAGCCCTTACTGAAGCACGCGAAAATGTAACCGAAGTCATCAATAACGCAAAGAGCATCAAAGAGTTGAGAGATACCCGTATCAAGGCTGCTGCTGCAAGTGCTTTGGTCGCTATGAAGGTTTCACCTAAGAAGCCATCTCATATCATCAAATCTATGATGGACAGTGTCAAGAAAGAGGAAACTTTGGAATTACAACAACGGTCTGCTTTCTCTATCGCTCGACTTATCGAAATATTTGCAGAAGGTGGTCGTACTGGACCGGCACAAAAGGTTGTATCAAATCTGGTTAAATTTATGTGTATGGAAACTTCAGAGACACCAGAATTCGCTCCAAATGCTCCTCTCACAACGGCCATTCTATCATTACGGAAAGAAGAAGATCGTAAAGATCATC